TATCAAACGAGGAATATATCATTGTTGTAAGCATCATTGATTAGTCATATTCTCCGATTGTCAATCTTCTGCTGGCACTCTAAGCAAGTATCAAACAAATCTCTGATCGTAAATTTTGCCCCGGGAGGTAGAGGCGGTTAAGATTTGGTTGAAGAGCTAGCCACCTTCGGTGGATGGATGACACCAAACCGGATAGTTCTCGACCTTCGCTGGTGGTGCCAAGTAGATAAAACCGACAGGCTTGGGTTTCAGTCAGTCAGCAAGTTGGTGAGAATCCACCACCAACAGATCCTTGTGAAGTTTTTCGAGTCAAGTGCGTGACTCGAAGAAATCGAAACTCTGCTCTGGTGACGCTGAGTGAGTTAACTGATCATTTTGTGATCAATCGAGATTTCAGACAGATATGAACCAGTGAGCATGGCTCTCATCAATGCAAATGTCAGGTGAATCTGAGAAGCTTGACTAATTGTAAGCTCCCCGTCCAAAATGCCTGAGATATGCAAGTAAAATTGGCCAAGCTGTTTGAACTCGGTCTAAATATGATTCGGAATGTACATGAGAGGATTTGGTTTTGTAATAAGACCCTAGTTCACAATTATCTTCCCGCCAGCTCGGCAATTCAACATGAAACAAGCTGCTTCCATACCTCATGACCTGTTACCTTCTTTGAAATCCGCCACACAGCAGTCACATAACAGAATCATCATAAGCACTGGCCCCTCAATCTCTTGAGCCAATATTTATCCCTATTTCTTCGTTCTCTTGAATCAACAAACCGAGGGCATCTTAATCTGGCCATCAGGTGACAAGGAATCTCTTCGGGTTTAGGGTGCGTATGCTGAAAGTATCATGAAGCAGGGATTTAATTGAATCTTAAAGATACAAATAACCCAGATAACCCAGCTAACCGTCTGAACAGAGGCGGCTCTGAGCTCCAAGAGGGTAGTGGATGGGACAACATGGTTTGGTGAAGTTTCGAAGATTCTCTGAGTCCAGAGAAGCTAGAGAAGTAATCAAATGATAAACAGCGGGTGACGGATGAAAATCACAGTCACCGTGTTCGTATCCTTGTAGCACGTCGACGTGCGCACACAAATTAGTTTCCTTAGACACTTGACAGACCTATTGAAGAAGTTTCACAACAGACACATCTTCCCTTTATAAACTGGGATGTTGGCAGTCAGTTGACCTCAGCTGATGACAAAGGATTCTGTGAATACCATGACTAAATCATTGTTCACAAAGGGTTTTCAAGAACAATCTCAGACGAATTCTGACCGAAAGACTTTCAAATTTATTTTGAAACTCTCCGTGTGCGCACGTCGACGTGCTACAAGGATATTGACATGGTGAATGACGCCAGTAAAGGTGCAATCGATCTGAGATCACATATAGCTATGAGAGAGCGGGACAGCTCTCGCAGCTGATTGTTTTCAACGCGACCGTTATCGGCGAATTTGTAGTCTTTGACAGGGGCCCTTCCCAATCCACATTCATCTCAAGATTTAGCTTTATTGATCAATAACCTTATCATCATTGGCATCGCCAATGGAAAACAAATCAATGTCATTGGAATCGGACTCGGGATGCCACAGTGGTAAACCCATCTCCATCACCAACTGCCTCCATATTCCTGATCTGCGAAAGAAATTGGTTAGTATGGTTGCCCTTGTTCAAGGAAGTTGCACATTCATATTTGATCAAGAACTACCAATCAAGGAAGACCTTTTCTAAAACCAGACGTCTGCCTAGCTAAATGGATTTTCATTGCTCCTGACTTAGTATCCCCATATGAACAGTAGGGTTGTCAACAACAATATTGAAACTAGTGTCCTAGATCCTGATCACACATGAATGTGCAGCTTTTTCAAACAAGGGAAACCACGAAATTTCCAACCAGGCTCTCCTGAAGGTGAGGAGAATCAATGCAGTTGGGGTTAGAAATGAGTTTACCACAGTGGCTTCAAGCTCCAGAGATATTTCCGGTCCCAATGTCATTGATTTGTTGTTTGTTTGTCATGAAATCAATGGTAGAATTGTAAGGAACATGATGATTATAAAGCTACATCTTGAGCTGAACATAGAATGAGAAGCACTACTTTCAAGAACTGGTATGACGGTCAAAGTCGCATCGAAATCATAAGTAATGATAACCGGTCTGTGCCGCCGGTTGTCGTGGTTTGGTCTCCTCCATTTGGTTGACTGTTGCAATTAGTCTTCAGATTGGGATGGATTTGAAAGAATTGTTCTTCAATGTGAGCAGCTGGATAAATGTGAAGATTGTTGACAAGAGCTTGTGAGCTGGAATCTTGTCATTGAGGTTGAAGAACACTTCAGACATCGCTTTGGAGATGCGGCAAAGGGAAGGCTTTAACAATCTATCAGCACACTCGACAACATTGCTTAGTTATTTGAAGATGCAATCTTGGTTCCGAGCCTTGTGTGATCCACACGATTTCACAATACCACCCAATATTGCCTTATAGTGATGACAGAAAGTAATCACCAGTGGAAGGTGATAAGGTAAATAAATTTACTTTGCAGGCTAATACACATATAAAGTAGGCTTATAAACACATTCGGGTCTTGGGACTCTGAGTCTCACAGAAAATGATGTGTTAGAGCTGCTTTGAGATTAATGAAACAATGTCAATTTGGTAAGGAGAAATGTGACATATGTACAGCCGTTGTAATATCTATCGGCAGTTTTTTAAGAAGATGTGTTGTCGTGAGATTTAATGAAGACGGCAAAAACTCGAAAAACCGCTTTCCAGATTAGAAACTCTATGCTCTGCTCGTTTGAGATTGGACATGTAAGTTTGCTATTCCCTCTCTCCTTATATTTCCATTACACCCTACTGTGCCATACAAAGCCGGTTAATGTTTAATTTTTTTTTCCTGTTTACCGGTTTCCAATTTCCCACATCCTGAAACCCTCCAACCCACTTCTTCCCCATCGCATCCGTTCCACTTCTCATCACCACTTGGACCTTCATCGCACTTCCGAATTCTTTGTGATCGTGAGTTTCGTTTGGTGGTTTGATTGCTAAGCATAAAGGATACTGACGTCACCTTTTATTACAGATGCCGGTCAATACGTATCCCACCGACATCAAGATGGTTGTCGTTTGCATGGTGATGCGTGGAATGCGATTCCACGACATCGTCACTACTCTTGGTGTCGACGTATCGCTCACTTCTGTCCGGCGGTGGTTCGAGTTGTACCAGACTACTCGAGCTGTGATCACTAATCCCGAAAACCATATGACTCAAGGTGCTCGGCCTATCTTAGGACCAGCTCAACACAACTTCATAATTGAATCCCTCGAACACGACCCTACTTTGTTCCTCGACGAGCTCCAACAAAAAATCTCTGAGCGGTTGGAATCGTTGTTTCCCTCAAGACACTTTCAAATGAGGTCCGAGTGCGTCTTGGATGGACGCGAAAGAAGGCACGCAGCGTCCATCCTAACCAATCGGCGGAGGCGCGAGGAGCTTATATCGGTCAGGTTTTCGGAATCGATCCGCATTGCCTGGTTTTCACTGGTGAGCTTCTTCCCCTTGGTTTCGTTTTGAAGGTACGAAACTGATGTGTTAGAAGTTTTTGATACAGATGAAACTGCCGTCAATAAGAGGCATCTTTATCGCGATTATGCACGCGCCCCACGTGGCGAAAGGACAGTCCGGCTCCCAAGAGCAACTAGGTCTCAGAGATGGTCTGTGTTACCAGCCATCTCGTCAGGGGGCCTAGTTGCTTTAGCCATCCAGCCTGGTGGCTACTCAAGAATTGATTTCGAGGCGTTCTTGGAAGATACACTAGTGAGTAACCTTCTTTTTGATCTGCTTTCATATTTATCGCTGAATATCAGTGGACTGATATTTGGATGGTTTTCATTTCTAGTTGCCAGCGATGAACCCTTGGCCCGCAAGGAACAGTGTCCTCGTGATGGACAATGCCCCAATCCATCACGGAGGGAACATTGAGGCCCTCTGTGAAGAAAGGGGCATTCGCCTACTTTATCTTCCACCATATTCCCCGGACTTCAACCCCATCGAGATGGGTTTTTCTCCTCTCAAATCTCGTTTGCGAAGAAGTCGAGCTCTCCACCGTGCGATTCATGTGGCTGGGGAGGAAGCGTCCATTTTCGTGGCTTGTATGAATCTGTTCACAGGCTCTCTTTGTGAAAAATTATTTAAAAGTTGTCGTTATCTCTGATACTCTCACTACTTTGTATTCGCTTATGCCTATGCCCTTTATAAATTTTATGTGTGCTACCTCAAATTAACAAATCATTGATTTGATTATATGCTGCAATAAGAATAGCCAGATATGTCATCTTTTTTAATTTAAAAGTTTGCTCTCGAGGTGACTAAAAGTTTGGAGAGTTTCCTTACGCCCGTTTATAAAATAGTCAGGATGTTTGCATTTCTTTGGAAAGGAAAGTAAATATGGTTTCTTTTCAAAGATACCACTCGAAGGATCTCTCATGATTAAAGGCAATTAGGTACTGTGGTATCTGAGGATAGCTCTCCAGGTATCTCACTTTGAAATTTACAAGTCTCAGGAAAACATAAATATATTTGCGTCTGTTTGCAAAAATTTGTAACGATTTTTAAATAACAATAAATTTTTATTTGTTCACACCTGAATCACACCAAGATAACGATATAGCTACATTGTACCAGACAATGATTTGGAAGTGGTATGGTACCAAATCTCACAAAAGGACCAGAGCGAGGAAATTGTAGAACCACTTTGAAAACCAGGCCACGCACAGACAAGAGAATAAAGACAATTGACAACTTCGAAATGAACCAGACATATACAAAGTTATATTTCATTTGATAATATAAGGATAGAAAATAACGACGCTTGTTTAGGAAGATACTCAATCGATCGTGCTTTGTTGATGATGTGATATGTGCTTTGACAATATCGTGTACCTTGATTTTTGAACATTGAAATCCTGCCATGAAAACAAAGGATCAAGTCATCAGTCCTAGGAAGTGATTGTGAAAACGTCATCCAAAAACTTACATTTGGAAAAGCGAGCTTGTGCTTCAGTAAGGAGGCGGTTAGCAATTTGACGTTCTAAACCTTTCTTGGTGAGCGTCGCCTCAGTGAGTTGAAGACTAGGTATCAAGTCAGTCCAGGACTTGATACCCGCTTCTTTAAGCACAGTTCGAGTCTTTTCGTCGTCCATAGCAATCTCGCAGTCGGCAAGGAAGAGTTCCAACTCGACCGAGTGAGAGGCCGAGGGGTTTTCGATCTCAATGGAGTGGCTGCTACTGACGCTTTCAGTGTTCCAGTCGCTCTCATACTCACTAGATATATAAATCGGGTTTTGGATAGTATTTTTGGCTTCTGGAACACATTGAAGCTAAATGGGTCAGTAACTCATTGTAATCAGGTATATCAATTGGAATTAGACTAACGTGGTTCCACTTTAATCTTCTTGATATCTGGCTTGATGTCATTCATCTCACCTGAACCGGACCCTTCACGTTTTTTGCCTATCTTCGCGAGGTCGGGCTTTATGTCGGTGTCGAGCGAGAGACTCACACTCGATCCACCGGCCACAACTTGAGGAACTCGATTTCCATGTGAACCTCGAGGTTTACCTTGTAATCGAAGGTCCACGCGATGATCCACCCCCATGTCAGGGTGGATCCAGCGACTCTTCTTGATTTCATACCTGAACTCAGAAGTATTCGGCGGGATGTCGTTGGTCGCGATCTTGGCCACCTATATCAACATATAGTAGTCAGTTCGCTTCCAAATTTCATCAGACTACAAGCCAGATGAAACACTTACCACCCCGTTGGCCCAAATCCACGCGGCCGCATAAGTCAAACGATAGAAAAAAGTGGGATCCCATGGAGCGGTCAAGACCTTGCCTGGTCCTCCGGAGGACTTTTCGATGGCATATTGGCTAAATATCTTGTTAGCAATAGTAGCTAACTCTCGCTCTTTAATAGATTCCTGTGAAAGAGAGCGAAAACAAACATATCAATGAAATGTTGAAGAACAAATGCTACCTTTACTCACCTCAGATTCTCGATCTTGGGACCCGCCTCCGTTAGTCGTGGCGATGAGCTTCTTAGTTGCGGATGCCTGCCAATGCCCAAATTCTTGAATCAGTCAAAATAGGAGTAAGAAACAATCGAATCGAAGGAAATTCCACTTGCCTTGTCACCCTCTTTAGCTTTAACTTGTACATTCTCATTCTCGATCAAAAGGATACACTTCTTTTTGATTGATTTATCAAGAGTCTCAACCAAAGTGTGCCATTGATTGTAATCAGTGAGCAAAGACTTGGTTTGGCCCATGGTGGTTTTCCACTTAAGCTCAGATGAGAACGGACTATTGAGAATGATGTTCTTCATACCCGGCTCGAATTTTTCACATTCTCCAGCCACCAGCTCTTTAAATTCGATCACACTCTTTCCATACGGGCAGATTTGCATTTCAAGGTAACCGGAGTTGAGCGCTTTCGAGTCGATCAGGTTGAGTTTAGAAGACTTCACTGCCTTCTTACCAGCGCCAACTTTGGGGGTGCTCTGATTGGGAGTGTTGATATCAACCTCCTGGTCGGTATAAATTTTGAATCGGACTTCAAACATCATAAGGTTATTCCGATCAAAAGCATCGCGGGCCGCTGTCCCTGCACGCAATAAGGGGTCCTGTCGGACGCAGGTCACTCGTCGATCGTCTCCGAAGCGTTCCTCAGGCTCTTCAAACACTGCGAGTGAAGAACATCATCAGTTGACGAAGGCGAAAACATGAGGATCCATGTGTAGTACTCACAATGGTTCATGTAGCCAGTGGATGGGGTCGCAGCGGGAGCAATTGGCGAAGCTGAAGTATTAGGCATTTGGTAATCTGGCGAAAAGAAACGATGATAAGAAAAAAAAAGAAGACAGGATTGAAGGAGACGAAAGGAAATAACAAACATGGAACAGAAGACGTACGAAAACTTTGTATCGGGTAAAAAGGATGAGAAAATGATATTTCTTTGGATAAGATGTGAATTGTGATAATGGAGTCGGTGGGAATATTTACGAAAGGTGGATGGTTGATAAAGGAGGCAGGTGAAGGATTGAAGGATTGAAAATGGGGGTCATACAATGATAACTCATCGTATGATGTGAGTGAGAAAACTCGTTTGAGAAGAGTATTTCCGGCCATTGGGAAAGAGATGAATAGCCGGGAGGGAGAGAGAGAAAAAACGAATATGTGATGAGGATGCGAAAGGATGAGAGGAGGAGAGAGGAAGGGTCAAACTTATGGTCCGATCTGAGAGAAGGACAATACAGTTTACTCTGAAAGTCAAAAAAAAAAGAGTTTTTGACTTCCAGAGTAAAATCTGACGACAACACACTTTCTCAAATTTGTGCCGATAGATATTACAACGGCTGTAAGTACAGTCGTCCAGGAAAGCTTGCAAAGCCCTGGCTCCCACAAGCAATACCGCAACCGCTCCCCTCAAAATTGCGGTTGCGGAGCGGTTTTTGGGACGGCTATGTCACCACTATACATAGCGGTGGCTGCGCTCCGCAATTTGGGGGGGGGAATCTATGGTGGCCGTGGACCGCCAAATCGGCCAAAAAGTCAAATATGCAGAAATATCGATGAAACACCCTTTGAAAGCCCCATGGAGCATGTCCCGAGCTCAAGTCCGCTGTGCCACTCTGCCCGCGTCCACACCCTAGTCCCCAAGAACTATGCTCAGCATACTATTACGGCTTCTGAGATCTACAATCTATATGTATTGCAGTGTTTCTTCAGATCCTGATCAACCCATAGCCAAGATGAATGGCAATGTTAGATCATTGTAGATATTTACATACTATCATATCACCATCCCAATAAACAAAGGTAAATCTTTAATAATTTACATCAGAAATCCTGAGTTGAGACAAATCAATTGTTTGACAACAAAAATCATTGTCTTAAATCACACTGTTGTATTTACTGGACAACTGATAAATGATGATATCTTTGGAAGACTCTATCACATATTCTGGAACATCACAGCTCTTCAAATCTAACATGTGTAGCTCATGAGTGAAACAACTCCAATTCTAATGAAAGGGCCACTAAAGCAACTGATTTACCGTGTTCTGGAGAGGCAAACATTGGCACATACTGATAGAACAAAAATGATTTGAAAATTGTTGTGAGAAGAAAGACAAACAAAGAAACAATATCAAGCAAGCAAGACCAAGGCCCCAGTGATGTGATCCTTATGATTGGGGCAACAAACTCGAGCTTGGGATATGCTCAACAGGGCTTTCAAGGGGGGTGTTTCAGGGTGTTTTGTCAAGATTTTTGCATATTTCACGTCTTGTCTGATTTGGCTGTCCGTGGCCACCATAGAAATCCCATAGCAATAAAATCACTCGACAACGGGTGGGGCCTGCAAATGCCCTGCTATATATATAGTGAGGCAAAACCCTGGACCCCGGTGTGGCTGTATCCTGGGTACAGGTTTGGAACTAATCCTTCTCCATCCACATCCATTGATTCATTTTCACCCCACAAAGCACAGTCACAATTGGAGGCCTCCTCCCATTCAAACACTTCACAGTCCCCCCTGGATATTTTTTCCACAACAGTGGTACTGTAGTAGTCAAACCTATACTGGATATAGTCAAAGGTGATCAAGGTATTGATTGCCCCCTTCTTATCAAGAAAACTTCTCAACACAACTCAATTTTATAATCAAAACTTCTCAACACAATTTTCCTATCTTCCCATAGTAGAAACCTTCCTACCTTCTGTCAAATTTTAATCATCACCATGTCCAAAACACCCCTCAAAGCTTGTCTGAAAGTGGCCTCTAGGTCCCAGGTAAGTCAACCGCTAGGAACCTTTGCCCACCAAGTCCTTCTAGACCCTAGCCTGGCTTTGTTGTGACTCCAAACAACTCGCATACCACTCTTTTTCAACCTTTGAGTACTGAGGGTGGATCCCCCAGTCCCCATGCTCATTGTCTTGCATAACCTTGACCACCAGTGGTTAAAATAAGCCAAAGTCAGCCACTCCCATAAAGGTCAAGCCAGTTGACAAAGGAAAGGTGAGTCCAGTTGATCAATGTTCAATTATTCACATCATTGAATCAATCACTTTTCATAGAAACAGTCTTCTACCAGCAAACATGCCAGATCTCCAAGTCCCCAGCCCTCTGCCTCTAAGTGATCCAAGTCCAATGTAAGTGATCAAATTCAATCAACAACCAACTGCATGAAGTTCACAATCAATTTGATATGATTTTTTAGAATCATGCATCAACTAGTCAACGTCCCATCTCACGTGGTGGGCGAAAGGTTTGGATTTAAAGTCTTAGATTTTTACAAGGCACACCTGTAGTGGGGGCGCCAAGGCACACCTTTCCAATATGCAAAATCAAAAAATCAAAAGAATTGACAAAACAACCTTGAAAAATGATGATAGGGAGACCACAAGGATCATTTCTTTCAAAGAATTGTGTATTAATTTAATAAACAACAATGAGAAGTATAGAATCAAATGAAGAAATTGTTTTCATCCCATGATTCACTGTCAGATTCAAGATCCACCAGCATCACATCTGTAAATACTCCATTAGAATTGGAACTATTGAACCAAGTGATGTCAAATAATGATCCTATGTAACTTGGTTCCTGATTGGTGAGTTCTGCTGAATTATTGTAATCAACTCCATCTCAAATTCTTGGAAATTGCCGAGATCTCCAAATTGTACATGCCTTTTGATGTCATCTTTACCCTTTGGACGTTCAACTGTGGATAGCGTTCTTGGGTTTTTGGCTTGAAGATCCATCTTGACTTGAGATATTATCTTTGATGTATCAACTTTCATGTGAGTTTGCAACCTAGTCTTTGGACAAGGCATCCAGGAGAAGAGGGCTTCAAAAGCTTGAAGTCAGTGGCATCCACTCGGATGATGTCTTGATTGTTTCCTTTGGCATGATTGAAGGTTCTGGGGTGTAAAAAAGGTGAGAGAAATTCCGAGAACCAAAGAAAAAATGAAAGCTGGTTCTGGGGAGCGCCCACCCTATATTTTGACTTTTCAGATGTGCCCTCACGCCTGCGCCCAGGCACACCTGAAAGGCGCACTTTTTGCACCACACCAACCATGTGAGTCCCATAGCTTTGTCTAGCCAATGTCCCACTAGCCGACATTCTGTATCAACAAGTTCAGGAATTGGCTCACCCAACTGGTCTGTGCAAGCCAATAACAATGTAAGTTTGTACCTTCAGATGTCGATGGAACATTTCAACTATGCAATGTAGGTCTATGAGGCCCCAGGCAAAATGGATGTCAAGGTTGTTTCATCAAAACATGGAGCTGGCTATAACAAGATTTTGTTGCTTGACATAAAGGAGCTGCTCAAGTATTTTCTTCTGCCAAAAGTCAGTTTTTTGATCTTTTATTGTCTTGGTTATAGGACTAGTTATATCCCAAGCTAACAAAGATTGTTGGCAATGCCAATCATCCTTTGTGCAAGAAACATCATAGTTCAATTGCTGCTGGCAAGGATCTCCCTCCTTCCTATGCTAATCACCTGGCCTCTCAGAAAAACATCAAGAAGGACTTGAATTAATTTCTCAGTGGACCAATCTTTACAGCCGACTTGCTTACCATGATCTTAGTCATGTGGATTGTGCAACATGCTTCACCTTGAGCTAGGTTTGAAGACCCTGCCCTTTTTTCAGCTTTTTACACAGTGTAGAACTTATAACCCAACAAGGTTTATACAGAGCTGGAAGAGGATAATCTACTAATATAATGACTAGTAGAAGTTGTCTAAGGACTGCTCTTCTAAAACAACACAATCAGGAAAGGGCACTGTTGTATTGAGTACAGATAAGGCACCAGAGAAATATATCTTCACACATATTTTTAACTTCAAAGCACAATTTTAATTACTATCAACACTGCTATAGTGTTATTCCCAAATGATAACTGAAGAAAATAAGCAATATCTTTATGATATTATTCCCAATAAGTCTTTTTGACTATAAAACTAAAGTAAATTTCTCTTTATAGCTATAATAAAGGGCGTATTTAAGTGACCAGGTACTATTAAAATAAGTTTATGATGATAAACAAAATAATAACTGCGTAAGTGATAAAGAAAAAAGGGGAACAACAGTCCCATAATCATCTCAAAGTATATATAACAATGTACTCCAACTTTTACAATGGTCAACAGCCTCAAAACCAATCAAATCCGCCCAGAAATCCCTAAAAACCCTATGATGACACAATGTAATGATTTTGTTACTAATAAATGATGTAATTTTCACAGCTAAAAGTGATCAATGACGCAATAATATGATGTACAGCACTTCTTATGATGAATACAGGTGATTTTTTCCTTGTAAACTAGCTGAAAACCAAATTTTGAGATTGCAAATTTTTTCAGATGTGCTCCAATTTTTGATTACTAAAGTGCATCTTGTAGCCCTCGTGTTACTGATCATTTATGACACCCATATGACCTATTTCTGTTGAGTGATGAGTAAGATATTGAGTTGTGAAGTTAAGGTTTTTAGTGTTACATGTTGACTTGTGACTGTAAATTCGAGATTCACACTAATTTCTTATTTGCCTTATAACGTTTTACATACACCTCCGCTACTATTGATTGAAAGTTTGTTAATTATGTAATCCATTCTTCTGCGTTGAATGAGCTATCTACCAACCTATTCTGACGTCATTTGACATATGTAATAAGCTGAAAACCTTCATTTTTCACGAAATTCACCCATTTGCTTCACTTTTCACAGCTGCTACTCTCTTTTTATTGCTCATGGGATATGACATCATCCTCTATAGCCTTAAAAATCCCGGAAAATCCTCTTGGCAACCTTAAATTTCACTATTACCACCATTACATATGCAAACTACACGTATACCTCTTGTTTACCAACTTCGAAAAAGTACCTTTTCTCTAATAACTTCTGTTTCTTATTATCAACCTTCAAGATTAAAATTGTTACAGTATAATATAATGTTGTTCTTTCATATTCTACCCTCATAATACCCATAACGTTATTATTACTACCCTAAAAACCATTTTCCAACCTGTATACCTATATTTTCGAATTTTCCTTATGTTTTTCTTTCTTTCTTTTTGTAATGAATTTGTGAATAACCTCTAATGATCTAAATAAGTAAT